CACAGCGGGCACTTGTCCCCCGTGTACCTGCGTTGTGCTGACTTCGTCTCCGTGCTCCCTCCAGCGCCTTCCCATCCATCCTGGGCTGAAAACACGGAGGGAAGGAATACCCCGTGTTGCCCGCGGCACCTTTTGCAGCCCGTAGGCTTTTTACATCCCGTTTTCTGCTTTGCTTACAAGCGTCCACGGATTTGAGTGACGACGTTTATCCAACAGAAATCCTTAATTACGCTGGGACGGGTTAGTGAAGCCCCCAAACTCCACAGCGGAGACTGGGCTAACAGGGCAAGGCGAATGGGTCAGGCTGGGAGGGAAAAGGGGAGGAGGAAGCTTCGTTTCTTCATTCAGAAAGTGGATGGACAAACCCCGAGAAAGGAGGAACAGCCGAGACATTCTGGAGAAGGTCATGTTCCATGTCAGCCTGAGACACAGGACTGACTCATTCACCTCCTGTCTCCAACAAAAATCGTTAATCAGTTCTAACTTCTGTTCTCAGGGAAGAGCCTGTTTTGTGCCGGGCTGTTTCAGCCACTTACCTGCTACAGCGACCAGGAGTGAAGGGAAGATACTAGATCATGTCGGAGTTCTGGCTGATTTCTGCCCCGGGAGATCCATGTCAGCCTGAGACACAGGACTGACTCATTCACCTCCTGTCTCCAACAAAAATCGTTAATCAGTTCTAACTTCTGTTCTCAGGGAAGAGCCTGTTTTGTGCCGGGCTGTTTCAGCCACTTACCTGCTACAGCGACCAGGAGTGAAGGGAAGATACTAGATCATGTCGGAGTTCTGGCTGATTTCTGCCCCGGGAGATAAAACAAATCTTCAGGCATGGGAGAGGATGAACACGGTGACGTCTAAATCCAACCTGTCCAGCAACAGCAAATTCCATATTCCAGACTTAAAGGTAAACAAGGAAAGGGTTTGGGTGTGGGTGATACAGCAGCATTGGCCAGGACTAAAGCCATTTGGGATGAATGTGGGATTTATCTTTTGGGATAATATGCAGTGAGTAGAAGAGGATTCCAGTCAGGGACTGAATGATGTTCATAGAATCACAGAAAGGTTTAGGTTGGAAGAGACTTTAAAGACCATCTAGTTCCAACCCCCCTGCCATGGGCAGGGACACCTTCCACTAGACCAGGTTGCTCAAAGCCTCATCCAGCCTGGCCTTAACTGAAAATTGATCAGAGAGCAAAGAAGTCATTGTGCTTGAAGCTGACCTTCACACTGGAAGGATGAGGAGTGAAGACGAGTGAGATAACTAACAAATCTACTGCATTCAAGGTACCATTTGCTCCCAGTCATGAAAGTCAGGCAGCATTGTACATCCTGGACTGCTAATACAAGGGGAGTAGCAAAGTATCTAGAACCATGCCAGCAGTCTTGTCTGTCTGCTGACAGACAAAGCGGTGTTATAAAGGACTTTAGACCTTGGGAAAGGGATGTATGTGTATGTTCAGCTACATTACTCAGCTTGATATCATCTTATAAATAGGAAGAGTATTAATCCATGATTTTTTAGTTATCTTTGCATTATTTAATCCTTATCAGATCTGCACATTATTTTTATTTCCCCTGTTTCTATGAAAAGTCCAAATACACTGTATTAAAGTCAGTGGAGCTACCACAGATGTTGCACTTGGTTCCTTGGGGCGTGCCGTCACCCATCACTTAACAAAGCTGCTCTTAGCACATCCAGGATTTGGCTTCAATCTAAAAAGATTCTTAGCAGTTATAACTTGAGGTATCCCAATTACATAGGGATGCAAGTGAAAAGGGGAGCGTGGTCTGTCCTCAAGTAATAGCCTACTGAAATGTCACATGAACGTTTCAGACTGGGTATGTTGCTTTTTGCATGTGCCCCAGACATTGGTATGATTTTTACCATCTGTGGGCTGACATTGGTGTGAGTCTGCTAATGTCAAAGGAGATGGAGCCTCTGCAGCACATGAAGGTGCAACCAGCCCATTAGCGTTCTGCTAATTGTTCTATGTAAAATGTGTTTCTTCTCCTTCAGCTTGACCCTTCATAATGTTGAGATGGAAACATTACAAGAAAAGGTTCAGCAATATATTGCAATACCATAAACAGAGAATTATGGTTGTGACAGTCATGCAAAAAGATGTTGGAGGAAACGGCTTTGTGAGTTTTTTAGTCTTTGCTAATAGCAAAGAACACAGACAGAGGCTCCCTTTTGAATAAGTGCTGCTTCCCTTGGTTCTCTCAGTGCATCCCATTTGTTTGTGTATCATGTGCACTTCTAGTCACTATTTTATGAGGTTAAAGACTAGTCTGTGCAACTTGTTATGGGAATAAAAACAGGAAGGAAGACACTGATGTGTAATCTTGAGACTACACATAATGTTTTTTCCTTTATTGGAAAAGGTCTCGGGTGAAGGAATTGCTACTATTTTCCACCAAGTGAATAAAGTTCTGTCAAACTGTTGAATTCACAAGTCCTAAACACAAGTCTGTGTCCCTAAGATTCTGCCAACAAAAGCCTTAGGCAGACTTGCACATCTTTCACTTACTTCTCATCTTTTGCACAGGTGGGGACACTGGATGCTCTTGTCGGTCTGTCAGATGAGTTGGGAAAACTTGATAGCTTTGCTGAAAGGTAAAATAGATCTTATTTACTACCTACAAATGAGAAACAGACATTGTTTTTATGGGACGGTATGTCCTTGTGTTCACCTCTGTCTGACTCATTTCAGCCCAGACTACAACTGGACTGAAGTGGATAGGTTTTGTTTAACCCTTGTGTGGATTGTCATGGAGTCATCACAAAGAAAAGACCATTCCTTTAAATCTGGATGAATTAAGTCAGTGATAGTTTTGTCTGCACAGCAACCTGTTTGAGGGGCAGTGCTAGGGAAGCTGTTTCTCAAATGGAAACTGCTATAAGTGTTTTGTTTGTTTGTTTGTTTGTTTGAAAGAACATCGACCTGCCCCATCCAGAAACTTAATAAAATGGCATTTGGAGAATATGAAGCCTTCCCTTAGCTTATTTTCCCAGAATATTTTTCTTGATCCTTCTGCCCCTTTTCAACCAGATGTAGGAGTTCTAACGAGTAAGTTCTTCTGAATGAAATCCAGAGCTCTCCCTCTCAGGATTTTAAACTCCTTGAAAGTTAGAATATCGACTCACATTGTATCAAACCTACTTATGCAAAGACTCACATAATCTCCTTGCTGATCATTTCCCAGACTGCCTTTTGGGCCAAACTGACCTGGGTCTACAAAGAATAATACAGTACTGCAAGCTGAGAAAATACCAGGTTGGAAGATACTTCATGGCACAAAGCAGACTTTGTTGTCGAGGCAATAAAAGTACAAGCTACTGGGGATTTTTGGTTGGATTTTTTTTTTTCCTGCTTGGTTGGTTTGGGTTTTTTTCTTCCTCTTTTTTTTTTTTTCTTTGGAAGCATACCTCATGTAGTTGTGGTCTTGGTCACAGCCATATGTTAGCTCTGGGGCTTTTTTTGCCTTTTCCCTCCCTCCAGCCAGGACTGATAAGCATTTTCTTCTCTAAATATGCATGATACTTTAATGGATTTTGTCTGGCAGTTGCAAACACATACAGAAACACTGATACAAGCTTTCAACATCTATGCTAGGCAGTTTCGGTAAAAGTCAGTCTGGTAGAATACATTTCTCTGTAGGTTTTTGGGTTTTTTTACTTGTGCTACAGAAGGACTGTATTAGGATGATTACATTTGATCACTCTGGGTTGCACACAATGTTTATCTTTTGAGAATCACAGAATATCTCAAGTTGGAAGGGACCTATAAGGATCATCAAGTCCAACTCCCTCCTTCCCAGGGGACTACCTAAAACTAAACCATATCCCTTTTTTCAGGATTTTTAGCAGGACAGAGCAACTTAATTAATCATGAAAACCTTCTCCATTGTGACCCTGCCAAAAAAAAATGCCCCAAATTCTTTGTAAACCTGTTCAGGCCTTTAGTTCATACTGCAGAGATTCTTAATGAAGTAGGAATGGGGGCAAATCCAGGGAGAGACAGTGCCAATACCTGCTCTCTCTTCAAATGGAAGGTGTCTCTAGTCAGGGCAGCAGATAAGCAAGCAACTGTGTGATGTGGGTTTGAGGGCTGCCAAAAATCATGCAGGACTGATTTTCAGAAGGGCTTAATTAATTCCCAGCTTTGTGAAAAATTGAGACTTCTGAAAAGCCGTCTGTAGGATCCACAGAAGGTAATGGAGGGTAATTTTAAGTGAAATGTCAGTATGAGCTCCCTAGGCTCACTGTCTCTTTCTGTTACCCTTGTCTTAACATGACAACCTGGCACAGCACCTTGTTCAAACTGAGAGCCACTGTACTCCACTAATTGTCCCTTTAATGCCAGTAATGACTCTTACCGTACGACATGCTATAGGCACCGAGCGAAAGGGTCAGTAGGGGCCTTCCACCGTAAGCTGCTGAGGTGAGGACTCTTTCTGCTTGCCATGTTTGACTCTCCAACTAGGTAAGCAAGAAGGATCAATGAGATTTAGAAATGAGAAAAATGTGTTAAAAATAAGGAAAAAGCGTTAGAGTAAGAGCAGGGAATAATCAACACAGATCGAGTCCCACAGGGATGTATATAAGCATTTTGTGTTAAATAAATGTCCAGGGTTTTGAGCCTAAATTATGACTCAAGGGTTAAAATGCCACGCACTCACACTTTGTTGAAATAAATGGCACCCAGAGTGTTACAAGCCTCTTTAAATAACCCGAGCATTTAGTTCCTGCTCCTCCGAAACAGCTACCTGCTGAAGTGTTGCTAGATAAACACAACTGCCAGTCAAGCCCGGCAGCGCAGACCTGTCAGCTCTGCCTCCTGCCAGGACAGCAGAGAAGGGGCAAGAGTTTGCAGGATCTATTGTTTCCACAGACTTTTATTATTTATTTACGCAGGGAGGCGGAGTGTTTTTCCATGTCACCAGTGTGGTAGCATACTGCCCTCTCAAGCAGATGATCCCTTCGGTCACTCCCGGGGGTTCTCCCAGGTCCTCAGTTGGCAGAGCATTTGGTGGCCCCAGATTGCAGGGCTTCTGCTCCCTGTGGTATTTTGGAAGCCTAGCTGGTATCTTTTATTTTTTTTTCCCCCCAAAGTAATGACATTGCAGCAATTTCAGAAGCAAAATGTGTTCCTAGTCATAATAACAGGCGGGTTTTTATTACTACTTCTCAAGGCTGTTTAGCTGAAACCCTCTCCTTTTATAATGCATCATTTGAGCATGGTATTTGCTCAAGGTGGGATTCATCTTGTGTAGAGGCAGAGGTTTAAGAGTAGGTTGTGAACACTGCTTGCTGTTGGATGTCACTATAGTCGATGGGGCTCTGTTGGGGGTCTGATTCCTCTTGTCTCAGATGACTCACCTGGGCAGATAGAGCTGTCGGGTGCACGACAGCACATACCTGTCCCACTATCTGTACCTAAGGAGGGAGAACAGAGCTCTCTCACTTGTTTATACACTTCCCTGTTGGCTGCTTTCTCTGTTATGCCCTTAGCCACCTGCTATACTGTTCTTAGAACCAGGCAGGGGTCCTGCCTTGCTCCAAGTTCCTTTGGGCATCCTGAGCATTGTGAAAAGGTCTGAAAACCAGCTGCATCTAGAAGCTGAAAATCGCAGAAGTACTTGTCAAGGTCACAGCGGGCTGGGAACCCCGGTGTAGATTCCCTGCACCCTCCCTGCAGCCCGAGTGTGGCCAACACACAGTGTACTCCAGCAAAGCCCTGCTGGCCTCGGGGCCCTGAGGGGCTGCAGCCAGATGGTGCAAAATGCGGCAGCCCTGAGAGGGCTGTGAACTAGAGAGCAATGGTGTAGATCCCTCTGATAGACACTGTGAACTGCCCCTGTCCACGATCATGAGAAGAATGGTTTGGGTTGGAAGGGACCTTAAAGACCATCTAGTTCCAACCCCCCTGCCATGGGCAGGGACACCTTCCACTAGACCAGGTTGCTCAAAGCCTCATCCAGCCTGGCCTTGAACACTTCCATGGATGGGAAAATCCACAGCTTCAACCTGTTCCAGGGCCTCCCCACCATGTCCATGAAAAATTTCTCCCTCACATCCAATCTAAATCTACTCTCAGTTTAAAACCATTGCCCCTTGTCCTGTCACTACAGGCCATGGTATAAAGTCTCTGTCTTTCTTATAAGCCCCCTTTATTATATTGCAGGGCTTCAATAAGGTCTTCTCTTCTCCAGGCTGAATGACTCCAAACAGCAGTAATTCTGACTACTGCATTCTTGGCGTCTCAGATTTTTCCTCCCTGTCACAGTACTGGAAAACCTTTCCAAAGACTGCATAGTCCAAAGACTGTGAGTTTCTTCACAGGAATGGAGGTAGAGGGAATCTTTACCTCTATGAATTACTGGTTTTAAGGGGCCTATAAATCTGCTCTGCAGCACATCAAAGAAAACCCTTTTCTCTGATGCTCTCATGGTGTCTGTACCTGGCCTGAAGTACCTTTCCTGAGCTCTTGAAAGCCACAGCCTGTTGCAAGACACATTGTCCAAATGCTGCAGGTGCCCTTTCAGTCTCCAGCTCACCTGGAGCCGTAGTAGTCTCCCTTCTGTGAGTAAAGAAAGGGAGAAGCAGCCTGTAACTATGCTCCACTCCATGTCACCGCACCAAGGATTACGTCCACTTCATGTCTCTGCCAACTTCATGGTCGGGCAGTTAATTTTTAGCTCTTGCTGGTTTTTATAAGGCGTAGTCAGCCAGGAACAGCTAGGGAACTGATGGCCAAATTCTGTGAGTATTTCCAAGTACAGAAGGATACCTCAAAAAGCAGAAAGGCTCTTGGCCCGTATGAGATAGGTACTTTGACTAGAGCCAGGGACTGCTGGAGAAACTAGATGAATCCCCTTCTGAAATGAGCAAGAAGTAAGTAACTGTGCGGAGACAGTGTTCTCCAGGGGAGGCTCTGTTCAAATCCCTGCTCTGAATCAGGGAAGGAGAATTTTAACCTAGTTCTCCCACACCTTAAAGAAGCCATGTTCAGCATGCTAAAGAAAGCAAGAGTCCCCTGAAGAAGAGGAATAAGAAGGAAATTCTTGTCAAACAAGAGAACATCATCTTTTCCCCCCGAGTGCTTTGTAAGAACCTTATCTCAGCAAACCCTAAGGGTTTATTTAGCACCCCGAGGAACAGATTTTCAGCCACTGTCACGTAGTCTCTTGTTCCTCCATCACCTTTAGAGTCTTAAACATGGGTTTTCTGCCTTCTGTTATCTGCTATGAGTATCATGGTTGTACAGAATAATGAATTTTGCTCTTCTGGAGGTCTAGAGCACTGGAGAGATTTTATTACCTATGTGTTTGCAGAGATTGATGTATTTAGAAAGAAGGCAATATGCCATAGGTTGTTCATCATCATTTGAATTGCAAATTAACCTGCCTTGCTTCAGAAGTGGTTTGGTTGGGCATCTCCATGTTTATCAGATCATTGTGGCAACTGTTTTATATTCATTTTGTTTCTTCACTAACAAAACTTCTCTTGTTACACTTAAGCATAATCAAGAAAATAGCCCAGTACATAGGAGAAGTTATGGAGGACTCAAAAGATAAAGTCCAGGAAAATCTTCTGGCCAATGGAGGTAGGTGCTGTGAATCTGTTTGTGTGTGGGGTTTTTTTTGTTTTGTTTTTGTTTTTTAATGCACTGATGCTGCTTTTTGTTTGCTTCAGAATATGAACATGTGGAATTGAAACACACATTAGAAAGGCCAACCATCAGCAAAACTTTTTAAGAACACATCTAGCCAGCTCCCATTTTTCTCAAAGTTAGCAGAAGCTTTATCCAGCGCCAGCTTTGCTTCCAGGAGAGTGTTCAGTGTCTGGTTCTGAACTGATTTCTAACACAGAGCTGAGGAGTGAAGAGGAAATCAGGAGACAGCCTTCTTCACTCCTAGAATGACCTAGCACCCTGTATGGGCTTGATTGCTTGCAGAAAGCTAAATCTCATTCTGTATGGCATCTGTCAGGAGTTTGCCTTCCCTCCTACAGTGCCTGGATAGAGCACGTTGTTAAATGGATTTCTAACACCACAGGTGGACGGGTGAGACAACAGCTCCAAAACTGTACTCGCAAGGTCATGGCAGGGGCTGGGAGGACATGAATGTGCTACTCCCATTAGTAGGAACTGCCCTCAGTGGTGTCCTGCAGCAGCTGTGCAGAGAAGAGCAAGCAGGGATGGCAGGGACACTTCTGACATGACAGAGGGCTATGGGAGCCCACTACCTTACTGTATGGTCCCCTGCATCCTCTGTAAGTAGCCAATATGGTGTTTGTATAACCACCATGAGCTGATTTTCCCCCTTTATTACCTACTCAAGGCCCTAAAGAGAGCCTCTGTCACGGACAAAATTAACATTTAGGAACTGATGGCTCCTAGATCTCTGCATGTTTTGTTATAACCTGAGTGCGTTTCAGAGCAAATTTTTCCCCAGCTATCCTGGAAAAGTACAGCAAAGTTGGATGTGTTACACATGCTGCTTAGAGGCTTGTCGAGTGATGCTGTTAACTGTCAGACAAATAAACGAACAGTGCACACTCCATCACCCTTTGACTGTCTCCAGTGCTGTACTTCAGATCTGTATGAGTAAAGGATGGGGGGGGAGAAAGTTCTTTTTTCTTCTTGGATGAAATAAGGCTGACATTTGACGAGTGCAACCACTTGATGAGTGCAGTAATCCCACTTACTGTGTTTCAGGGCTAAAGGATAAAATTAAATGTCTAAAAAGTATGTTGATTGCTGATTGCAGTGATGTGACCTGCATGCATTTGTGTGTGTTAGTGCTAGAGACAAGTCTTGGTCTGGTTGTAGAGATACAGTGATCAGGTTACGATGGATTTCTCAAGTAACAACCTCGTAGCTTGATCACGATATCCCTATGACTTGAGAAACAACAGGTTTCACCTATTTCCTTTGTTTCCTCTTTTTACACTATTTTCCTATCAGCTCCGCATGTGTGTAATAGAAGGGTGTGGAAATTACTTGTGTGTGTTACTAATTTCTGGTCTCTGTTTGGATTTTGTCATCCAAACAAATCTTATTAAACTAAGACATTAACCTTTTTCAAGATCACTGACTGCATCTTAAAAAACAGAGTCAGCTTTAGTATGTGAGGATTCCCCTAATACTCCAGCGTCATTCTTCACAGGCAGCAACAACTCTGCTGTACAAATCCTTCCGCCTCCCCTCTCTGGTTAGCAAAAGGACCCTAAAGTTGAAGACTTCCTCAAGGTCATGAAATCAGAAACAATGAAAAAGCACAACTTCTTGCCGCATGGCCCTGTTTCAGACTATTAGACCATCCCAACTCAAATTTTGGTTTAAGTTACGCTACACGAGTTTTCTGGTTTTAGCTCAGTTGTATATAATCCTGACAGAAGTTTGGCCCATGGACTGGTGAAGATGGTGGCTGTGTGTCTAAATTGTTTAGATTAGTGTGAATCAAAATGCACGGTAGTAGAAAACAGAGCACTTCTAGTTAAGTGAACACACACACTAGTTTCCAGTGGGCAGCAGTTGGAAGCAGCCACGTGGAGATGTCTCCCTTACAGAATGAAACGTGTATTTGTGTAATAATGTGAGTTTTAGCATATCACAACAGCAGCGAATGCTTTCTTGCTTATGACAGAATAAAAAAACTGTGAAATATAAGCAAAAGCTTTTCTTCAATGATTTGGACAAAATGATTTTCTGTTTATAGTAATATTAAACCCAAATGAGTTTTAAAATTTGGTAAATTTTAAAATTTTAAACCCAAATTTTAAAATTTGGACCTTAGCAGGAAGGGTTGGATCTTTGCCTTGTGCCTCCTGCCCATTGGATGTACGGGAGGCGTACACAGCCGTGGGTCTAGAAAAGGGGAGAACATCATGCCAGTGCTCTCCACCTCTGAGGCAACTGAACCTTTGCTATGAAGCCTGTTTCCTCCTAACATAAGACTTTCCATGCTTTGGAAATCTAATAGGGTAAACTGACTCTGTTGTGGGGTGAGAGAAGCCCATGGAAAGGATAGCACTCTCCTGCCAAGGGTATTCGGTATCCCGTGAAACAGGGTAGTACCCTTGGCCTGGTGGTATGGCAGTTACACAACTTTTCACATTCCTTCTCATGCGTCTCAGTTCATAAAGTTTTCCCCACATCCTGGAAGTTCAGCCAACAAGAAACAGTGCTCAAACCTCGCTGTGGCATGGAATTAGCTCTGGAGAAGGTGGTGAAGAGCACGGAGCAGCCCCAGCTTCCCCTCCTTTGACTTGGCAGCCTGAGCTTCTTTCGCTCCTCATCTCCCCAGGGCAACTTTCCAGCTCTTGTCCTGGTCTGGAAAAAAGCCCACCCTGCGGGTGACAATGCCTCTGGCTTTTTGTCTGGGCTTTGAGACCCTGCCTGCTGCCCTAACCTGTAGGGGACTGTCCCAGCCCCGCTGCTTGTTGTGTTTATCCCATCCCCTAAAGTTGCCCAGGAACACTCTGTAGGAGTGTGTTGGGCACCCTAAGGGCTCTCAGGACTCGGGTTAGGCAAAGCACGGTCTGATTTTATGAGCTGCTAGAGGAGAATTGTTTATCTGGTACCTTAATGTACCAAGTCTCCATGTTTTCTGTTAAGAAGCCTTGGTCTTCAGAGTGCAACAGCATGATCCTGCTCTAGGAGCTGGAAGAAGCCATGGCTCCCCGTGGTCTGAGGATGCCTTGTTTTGGGGGCTGCATACACACAAGGCCTTGCTGTGAGTTTCTATCAGTGGGTGCTGTGATTTATCCATTCAGAGAAACACCGTATGGCTTTGTGTGAGATGGGGAGCTCTGTGCAGAGTCAGCAAGGAATTCCCCGTCTCACAGGAATTGGTCTGAGAGCAGCTACAATCTTAGTATCTTTGATCCAATCTTACTATCCAATCTTACTATCTTTGATCCAACTCTCAATTACCCTGAGTGTTACTGCTGGTCCTGGCCACCAAGTGTTTTTCTGATAGCTCTTGCTGGGATTAAATTCAGGCGTATTGCAATAATCAAGATTGAGGTATGTTACATGAGGCTGTTTCTGCTGTGAAGAACTGGTTGCATGTCGCTGTGTCCTGCTGATACAGCTGATTTTACAGTAATGCTTGTTCTGTGCTGTTTGCTGTTAGGGGTACAGCAGGGAAGATTTCTGGTTCAGCTTTTCAGTTTGAGGGTGTTAAGAAAGGTGATTGGACTGGGCATATGATCTGTGCAGATTTGACGTACATCAAATTTCGATGTGGATTCGGGGGTGGGCTTCTGGTTCACTGCTGTCTCTAATGTTAATCACAGTTATACCTAGGCTATAGATGGGCACTACTACCCAAACTCTGACCCGCCGTCTGGTAAGCTGTCTGCTTTAATGCATCTCTTTGCATTTTCAGTTGACCTAATTAGCTACCTGACACGGTTCGAGTGGGACATGGCCAAATATCCCATAAAGCAGCCGCTGAAGAATATCTCGGAAGCATTAGCAAAGGTAAATTAGACTCCGATTTTAAGATGTTAGCATGGGGAAGTATGTCTTTTGGCAGTTTTTGGTCCCTCCTCTCATAGCAGTCAGCAGAGAGCTTTGCCTTTGGTTTGGACAGGAACAGGCTCAGAAGCCCACACCCTGTACTGAAGCATTGCTGCTATTTTAATTTCTACTGTAATAACAATGATACATACAATTCAACCCGTAAGTATATGGCACTTTGTTACTAGAGTACAGTGACATGCTTTCTGCACTTTATTCCCCTTTGCTGTAACATTTAATTGTTTTTATATACTCCCACATCATTCTCCATTTCGGGGTTCTTTTGTGAAATTGTTGGCCTGACACTAAATCAAAGGCATTGCAGGCTGGATAAATTAATTTACGCTGTCGGCCCATTCAGGAAGGTGTGACGTGTTGTTCAATACAGATAACAAATGAAACCGTGAACTTGCTCCTTAGCTATAGCTGTAACACAGGCAGCAACAGCTACTTTCTGCGGAGGCCTCTGCCAGAGGGGACCTCTGACAATGACCCCCTCTTGGCCACCACCAGGTGGTTTTACTGGGGTGGGCTGACAGCTCTGTCCTTTTCCTGCAGTGCAGAGGTGGCGGGAGAGGGTGAGGACAACACCTCAAGCACCGAGTTCACGCACTTTTTTTACTTTGTTTTAGCAAGTGACTCAAATAGAAGCAGACCTAAAGACCCGATCAGCTGCATACAACAACATTAAAGGAAATCTGCAAAGCCTGGAGAAAAAAACTGTGTAAGTATATGTCATGGTTTAACTCCAGCTA